AAATTTGTTGATGGGAAGTCTTGCACTATGTTAATTGACACTAGTCCTACAGCTGCAGTAGTTCCACCCAATTTGTTAATGAAAGGTTGGACATTGCTTTCCAAAATGATTAAAGAAAATGGATTGATGCAAACAATAAGTGGACCTAAAGTTCAAGCAAGCAGAAAGTTACAAGTTCCTTTACTGCAGAAAACGTGTTTTCACCTCATAATGTGTATGTAAATGACATCAAAGAATAGTGCACATTTGGAATTGATGTCATAAAGAGAAAAGGGGTGTGAGGTTAGGCTAGCTTCAAATAGTTTTACAGCCCATGACCATCAAATCCCTGTAAACTGCATGACAATTACTAGATCAAAGGTTGATCTTCCCATCATTGTAGTACCATGAAATGAACCAAGACTCATACCAGGACTCGTTAGGAAAAAATTTACATTTAGTAACAGGTCATAGCATAACAAAACATTCCAGTTTGTTGTGATGCATTAATGACTGGAAGAAATATCGTGGATCTAAAAATTAAGATGTTATCATTAAGGCCAGGAACACAAAAACATAAAATTTAAGTCAAGTCTGGATGCAACATTGCAAGATGTGAAGCTGTACAGTTAGTACTTTTACATCAAAGAACATTAGAAGTAATCACCTTTGAGGCAAGATGTAGAATGTTTGATATCAAATCCTTAAGTAAGGACAAATTACCATCTCACTAACAAGAGGTGTATAACTTGAACTATATAAATCTTGCAGCTGATCAATGTCATTGTTCTTTCTGTACTTGAATTTATAGGATAGTCACTCAGCAGAGGCTTACATAGAATACGCAGAGGGATTAAGAAATACCATTGAATTTATACCTGACTTTATCTGGAAAAGACTTAAATCAGCTAGTGATAAAATGAAAAGTCATTATGATATTAATGCTGATAAAACTGGATTGCATTGGAGTAATAAGGTAGGACTGTGTAATCTCAGAAAGGACAAACTCCTAAGCTGAGCAGGTTTTGGGTAGGGTAATTTTTTATTGAAAAGAATCACTGATGTGGTTTACAGAATTCAGAGGCACGGAAAATCCAAGACAAAGGTCACTCACTATGATCATCTTTGAAAGTACATTGGTGAGAGAATGGACAACTAAGTAGCTCCAGAGAAGAACAAGCTAGTGAAAACTCAATCAGCCGAGAAGTCCACAATTGCTGTCGAGACCACTTCCAGAGGATAGACAAGGATAGAGCTGCCATTGGATTCACTTAACCAACTACCTATGAAAAATTTCCCAAGTGATAGGACAGCCAGCAACAATAAGGGTCAAGATGTCATCTTATCTGCATACCATGAACCCCAGAAGAGAAAGCTACCAAAATTACTTGGTGGTTGGACAGTTTAGTGTACTGCTTTATTTATGAATCAGGATTGTTCAAGGGACTTCACAATAAAAGAAGGGAACAGTGTTGTATGCTATCTTTTCAATGCTACAATTTAGTTGTTTGCTAAAGGAAGCTTGTCATACATTGATGCCAAGAATCCAGTAGCTTTGACTAATATCTAGGCAAAGGTACATTAAATATAAATACGAGTAGATTTTTAGTTTGAATAGTAGTGATTAAGAATTCAGTGAAGTATTCAGTATGCTAATGATCGAGTAAAGTTATCGAATAAGAGTTTTGAAATGTTTAACCCAGTAGTAGATCCTGGATGTTATCCATGATGGTTCAACAGGTTTGTTTCTAGCGTAGCTGCGAAAGCTGAGCACTGCATGGCTGAAAAAAATACATCTTCCTCCTATTTTATTCACTTTTCAGTTAGGCCAGGTGGCTAGATGAGTGCATTTTTTTTGCGTTTAGAATCCCTGAAAGATCTAAGAAGAAGGAATTTTTCATTAATTTATATTCTGAAAATGTTCATTATTTATGAAGTGAAGAAAATCACCTTCATCACGGATTACATCACACAAATTTCCTCTCTCTCTTCCAGGCACAAAGTGACTCCTCTATACGTCTGCCTCAACAGCACCAACTCATCATATTTACAAAGAGGAAGCTTTGCATTGCCTGATAGTAAAGCACTCGGCTCCCAATCTGTGGGTCGCGGAATCAAAACTCGTTATTGAACATGCTTGCCTCTTCAGCTGTGGAAGCATTATAATGTTACAACAGCGGAAGTCACGTGACGCTGCTGGCGCGTTTGGCGCTGGTAGCCTACATAAAATTTCTCGAATGATCATGAATTTCCTAGTTTGTTCGGGATGATCTCTTTTTTTAGTATATAAGCCTGGCAAAGAAAGCCAGCTGGAAAATTATGGGAGGGATAGTCGAGAAATCAGATAGTCCCTGGTCAGCTCCCATCGTGTTAGTCCAGAAGAAGGATGGGACCCAACGTTGCTGTGTGGACTTCAGGGCTCTTAACAGCATAACAGAAAAAGACTCATACCTACTGCCAAGAATTGATGATACTTTTGATGCTATAAGTGGAGCCAGATGGTTTTCAATTTTGGACTTATAGTCGGGTTTCCACCAAGTGTAGACAGCTGAAGCAGATAAACCTAAGACTGCCTTTAGTTATGGCCAAGAGGCTGATGGAAAGAGTACTGGAAGGCCTACAATGGAGGATACCCTTAGTGTACCTGGATGATGTCATTGTGTTTGCAACAACATTTGATGAGGAAATGTCTCGGCTAGAGGAAGTATTCAAGCGTTTGAAAGCAGCAAACCTCAAACTCCATCCCAATAAATGCCACTTGTTCCATAAAGAGGTGCTTTACTTAGGCCACATTGTTAGTGAGAATGGTGTACAAACTGATCCTGATAAGGTGAAACCAGTGCATGAC